TAGCTCATGTGGACTCACATTCAGTTCTCCCCCTGGACTGCTCCTGATGTTAAATAAAACAACAGGCAAAGCGTACACCCAGTTTAACTTTATGTCTGCACACACCTTTGCTAAACTTTCCTTCAGTGTTCTGTTTGCTCGTTCCACCTTTCCCTGTGACTTCGGGTGGAAAACTGCCCCAAACTGATGCTTGATCCCAAACATCTGCTCCACTTTTTGCAGTTCCTTATTTGAAAAATGCCTGGCATTATCAGATTTTATGACCGCAGGTATGCCGAATCTCGGTATGACCTCAGTACTTAACCACCGAACCACCTCTGACGCTTTCTCTGTGCGAGTTGGCACTGCCTCAATCCATCCACTGAACATGTCAACACACACAAGCATGAATCTCTTTCGTCTCACCCTATTCTGAGCCCCCATGTCAGTAAAATCAATAGACACCTCTTTCCACGGAGCAGCAGGCACTGGAAATGCACCCAGACCAACTTTCAGCACCCCCTTCGGGTTATGTCTGGAACAGATTTCACACATCTGAACAAAATACTTAGAAATTGCTTTGATGTTTGGATGCCACCACACCTGAGTGATCATGTCAATCATTTTAGCATTGGAACCATGCCCCCTACTGTGAGCTTCCTGACACAGTAGATTTACAAGCATCTCAGGAGCCACAATCTTACCCTCATGGTTTCTGAAAAGACCATCAGAACCTTTCCTGGCTCCTCATTCTTGCCAAAGTTGTATCTCTGAAACGGCAGCGTTATTTTGCATTTCTAATATATTTTGAACATCAAATATTTTCTGCAAAACATTTTTATCAGAACTCACAGCAGGACCTCCTTCGTCCACCTGGACCATCTGTCTGTTTCTCTCATAACCAGCACACTCTTTTGCTGCTCTGTCTGCCTGAAAGTTTCCTTTTGCCACCAAATCACAGTTTTTTTGATGAGCTTTACATTTTAATATTGACACGGCCCTTGGCTTTCCCAGTGCATAATATAAGTCCAAAATTTGATTTAAATGAGTCAACGGTTTGCCCGAAGCAGTAACAAAGCCTTTCCTCATCCACTGGCTCAAATCAACATGAACACTGCGATGCACATATTCTGAGTCTGTATAAATGTTTACTGTTTTTCCTGCTGATAAATTACATGCCTTAGTCACAGCTTTTAACTCAGCTAATTGAGCTGATGCTGATTGTTTAATGATCTTTGCCCTCAGCACAACAAACTTTCCTTGACATTCTGACACCACAGCAAAAGAGGCAATTAGCTCACCGTTACTACTTTTATGAGAATGTCCGTCAGTAAACAATGTCATCTCAGCCCCCTCTAGTGGTTCTTGAAAAACGTTGTCATGTACTTTCATTTCCTGGTCTGTCAGCTCTGCACATATGTGGTCTTGATGTGTCGTCATCTGAGAAGCAATATTTACTCCCATCCATCCATTTTTTTCCGCCTATCCGGGGTCGGGTCGCAGGGGCAGCAGCTTCAGAAGGGAGGCCCAGACCTCCCTCTCCCCAGCCACTTCTTCCAGGTCTTCCGGGGGAACTCCAAGGCATTCCCAGGCCAGCCGAGAGACATAGTCCCTCCAGCGTGTCCTGGGTCTTCCTCGGGGCCTCCTCCCGGTGGGACCTGCCCGGAATACCTCACCAGGGAGGCGTCCAGGAGGCATCCTTACCAGATGCCCGAGCCACCTCAACTGGCTCCTCTCGACGTGGAGGGTAACTGGAGGCTCCTCCTCCAGTTACTTTAC